CCTTTCCTTGGCTGGGTCTGTCAGGAGGATTTTGGTGATGCGGAGGCAACTGGTGAGCCAGGAGCTGGAGATGCGGATGATATTGACGATGACTGGGGCGAAGAAGATCCGTAAAGATTCTGATTATGTCACAAATGGGTACTGGGCAGATGACTGGAATGTATCGGCATCAGGAATGACTGGACCAACAATGGTGATTTGTATCTAGCAAGGGTGGTGGAGTGGAGAACATGGTACCACTTCCAGCAATACCACACAGACCTCAGTGCTTGTGGGGAGCATGTAACCATAGAGATTTGATACAGTTGGGAAAGAATCAAGGCTTTGAATGGGACTGAAATATGAGACTGGTGTTCTGGGACGGCATTTACTAAACTAGGCAACCAACCAGAATATGTACCGTACTACGGCGTGGTGATGCAGGGCACAACCTTCCAACATCATGTTGCGACATTGGTGTCATATTCACTGAGCTTCCTACCATAGTAACAAACAGGATGGGATTGCATGCAGTGCAGATACGCTTCATTTGGGGCACACCCTTCTACAGAGCAAGACACACAACAGCTCATCACCTTGCACTAAGGTGGCCGCACGAGTCGGCCATTGGGGTCCCGGTTCCACAAACCCTTGAGCTCAATAGTGCAGTTACTCAGTGGGGTGCACAGATAGTAGAAGCATGCAGGCTGTGACATCTCAGCCTCCAATAACCTCCCTTGAGCATCCTGCCATGCCTGGATAGCGCCAGCTTTCCATTTAATGTCAGCGTCTGAACTGCATGGTGCATGGGCCTTAGACTGAACAGCCCGAGCGACTCCCATGTAGGTGAGTCCGAGTAAGACGTAGCCACACATCAGACAACCACCAGCAGCCTTAAAAAGTGAATAGAAAATGTTAGAGCCTTCTCTCCATTCGCAGGTCAAGTCGTCAGTTAAATCTAGGCTGGAAACGATGGATCGCACTGAACACTGGGCACCTGAAGGGAAATGACTGAATGAGAACACTAGTTGACTGATTCTTCACACCAATAAATTCCTGGCCCTGCACATACCATACACTGTACTCATCGGCCAAAAGCTTTCCGTAAGCTCTTTTCCAGCGCACATCGGTAGAGGAGCAGGACTATCAAACAGAAGCACAAGCTCACTAGTCTCTGGCAACGCTGCATGAATTTCGTTAGTACAAGTCGTCTTTCAAGAACACAAACGAAAGGACTTACAGATCGTTGACAGAGGCATTTCTGCCTCGGGGTCAATGTCTCTCTCGTCAATGTCCAACCGTTGGACGCCCATAACTGGAAAAGGAAAAAACATTAAGAGGGTGCTGACGTCGTCACAAATATCATAGCAGGAGAGACGAGCATACCTGGGAAGGTATGTCTGATGACGTGTGTTAATTGACTTCCGCGTGGAATTCGGACTGTCAGTGTGCCTCGTTTTGACGGAGATTGAAAACCGCCATACTTGAAGGCGTACGAGCTCGTCTTGTTCATTTTCAGAGACCAGCTCCATCTCTAAAAACGGAAAAAACCGTTATGACATATTATTATAGAAAATTCTGTGTAAAACAAAAAGAAGCCGAACCTGTCCTTCAATGTCGACTCGAAGATGAACGATTCGGGGTTGTGTGAGAAAGGTTGTACCCAAGGTGACATTCCTGCAAGGAATGCATGGGGTTAAAACAATCGTTGCGTCGCTTGTAACTGGAAGGGATGGCGGAAATACCATACCCGAACAGTAAAAAGGCCGGGCCCTGCTTTTGCGGCTCGGCACTGCTCGCAGCGACGACATGAAGAGTTGCAGATTGGAAACATAGCATCAATGCGAACACCACGGCTATTCCAACTTCGTACGCTAGAAAGTGCTTCATTGCGTTGCATACAACGGTAACAAGAGAGCGCAGTTGCAAGATGACGGTAGCTATGTACCGGCTACGTCCTTAAATCAGTGCACAAGCTGAACATGGATTATTCTGTGGTCTGCTCAAGTTTTGGAAGGTATAGGGGAGCTACAGATCACGCATGAGCCAATCCCACTCACAGTTTTCCTCTTGAGATTGTCGAAGAAAAAACCTGAAGAGCGTGTTGCTCCCGAAAATTTGCAACACCAACCTGAAATTTGTTTCATGCAGGATGGTTACCAAATAGTGCGAAAGCGGCCACACAAGTTGGGAAAACCGTCGCGATCCATTTGTCCATCTTTTCATAATTCGCAAACAATTACAGGTCTGTAACGAAAACGCTTGGTACGTTGGAAACCTGGCGGTGCTTCCGTACCATTGAATAAGCCCGCAGGACCTCCCCTTCTCTTCCCTGAACGCCAACCCTCTCATGTGGATGAGAATCACATTTCTCTAGTGTCTTCAATCTTCCTGTTCTAGGTGTTTTACTTGCAGTTTCTCGATTCCATCAATCTAGCCGTGACTTCCGTCAACAATCCGCCCTAGCAATTGCTTCTTTCACGATGCGGGTCAGGCCTGCGATCGGACGGCTATCGGAGGATTTGCTCTCCCAGATCCTCCACCTCGTTGGCGAATCCGGCAGCTATTTCCAGCACGCTCTCGTTTCTAAGGAATGGCATCGCATTGCTCGTCACGTCCAGGATTACATTCACTTGCAAGAAGACCGTCGCATGAGTCCGCGTCAACTGCTTTCCGAGCTCTCGTCGTTCCCTAGCCTCACGAGGCTCGTCCTTCCTTCCGGCAGCCTCATCTCCATCCCGGACTTTTTCCTCACCCGTCTCGCCGACACGTGTCCAGATCTGCTTCAGCTTCACATTGAATCAACGGATCAGACTCACAGAGGCAAGGGTTTCACCGAGGAAGGCCTTTCCGCGCTTCTCGAGGGTTGTGTTCGGCTGGAGGAGCTTCATCTGGATTGTCCTCTCCGTCTCACCGCCATTCCGCCTTCCATCGGCGGTCTCGCTTGGCTCAGGGATCTGCATCTCACTGCAAGCAGCGTCACTCACATCCCCGACAGTATCACCTCGTTACAGTCGCTCGAAAACCTAGTTTTACAAATGGACTCCCTTCAAGAACTACCTCCGGTTTTCGGCAATCTGATATCTCTAGAATCGCTGCGCCTTGAGTCTTGCGCGCTTCTCACGTCACTTCCGGAATCTATTGGGCAACTTGCGAATCTAGACCATCTCTACATTAGCGGCACCGTCAGGCTTCAGCTTCCGGCTTCTCTTTGCAATCTCTCGTCTCTGGTAGTCCTCGAGATTCACAAGTGCCAGGATCTTTCGCCGCTGCCCGAGAATCTCGGTCAGCTGCAGGCGCTCGAAATTTTACTTTTGGACGAGGTTATGGGCCTCACTGACCTTCCAGAGTCTCTCGGGCAGCTGCAGCGGCTGCGGCTTTTGCAATTGATTGGATGCTTCGGTATTATGTCGCTGCCCGGATCCATCTCTCGTGTGTCGTCCCTCACGGGCCTCAACCTGGTTGTTCCAACACTTTCAACGCTGCCCGATGACATTGGGCAGCTATCGAATCTTCAAAGCCTCATGCTGGATGCTCAGAGCCTTACAAGCCTTCCTGCTTCCATCTCTCTGGCCTCTGCACTCCGAGAACTAGCCATTGACGGTCTCCGAACTATTACAACCCTGCCCGAAGAATTCGGGCAACTGACGGCGCTCGAGTCCCTCCGCCTGGCCAACCTTCCACAGCTCACCCACCTGCCCGAATTTCTTGGGAACTTGACGAATCTGGATGAGCTGAAAGTGGTGAAGTGCGCACGACTGCATCAGCTGCCCGATTCTTTATCCCAGCTATCTGCGCTTGAAAAGCTTCATTTGAGCGACAACCGGAGGCTCACGGCTCTACCAGACGGCTTGGGAAACGGTCTACACAACTTACGAGAACTCATCCTACTGCCTTGCAAGGCCCTCACTCATCTCCCTCCATCCTTCTCCAGTCTCTCATCGCTCGAGACCCTAGAAATTTTGCAAGCTGACAGCTTTAGAGGGCCCCTGCCAGAGGGCTTTGGCTGCTTGAAAAGCCTCAAGAAGCTCTGGCTCTGCTCCTTGCCGCACCTACCAGCCTTCCCTTCGTCACTTCCCGACCTCTCCCGCACACTCACTAGCATGATGGTGACCAACTGCTTGGAATTGAAGGAGCTCCCTGAGGAGATCGGACGGCTGGAAGTGCTTGAAGAGCTCACAATCTCGAAGTTATATGGCGTCGAATCGTTCCCGAAGTCGCTGTTTCAGCTGCCTGCGTTGCGGGTGCTAGAGGTACTGGCGTGCACGGGCCTCATGACTTTGTTTGGGGACGAAACGCCGGGAGCAGCTGAACAGGAGCAGGGACAGGGTGCCACCACTGGTAGCAGCTCACATGGGAGTGGCAGTTGCAATCCGAGCAGCAGCAGGAACAGCATCAGTCCGAGCAGGAGTGCTGATCATTTGCTGCTTCCTTCTTTGCAAAAACTCAAGCTGGAGGTTCTTCCTTTCAAAAGACTAGGTCCGTCCCTGGGCCGTCTCTCCTCCCTGACAAGCCTAGAGCTATCAGACATGCAGGAGCTGCTCACTCTCCCAAAATCCATCTCCGACCTGTTGAATTTGCAAGAGCTTGCTATTTCTCATGGCTGCGGTTTGGAGACCTTTCCAGACTCCATAGGAAGCCTTCCCAGGCTTGCTTTGCTTCAGCTGGTCGGGCTTAAAAACTTACGTGAGCTGCCTGAGTCTTTTGGGCAGCTGAACATGCTCCAGTCGCTGGAAATCAGGGATTGCGCAAATCTGGTTCGGCTTCCAAGAAGCTTCCCTAACCTGCTGAAGCTGACCTTTTTCTCCCTTACCAGCTGCCCGCTGATTTCGTACATTCCAGAAGATTTTTGGCAGCTTTGCTCCCTTCAGAACCTGGTTTTGATCAACCTGCCGAACCTGGAGAGCCTGCCCGAGTCTTTTTCGCAGCTGCCCCGGCTGGAGGAACTGAAGCTCTGGTACTGTGAACGTCTGCGGCAGCTACCGTCTTCTCTTTCGAAAATGCCGAAATTGATTCAGTGCATGATCCGTGAGTGCCCCCTGCTTTCCGATCGAAGGACTCGGGTGATATATGGGAGGGGAGATATGGAAGAGGGAGAGGAGGGAGAGGTAGGGATGGAGGGCGCAGAGGGGTTTGCAACAGGGGAGGAAGGAGATCCAGATGGAGAGGAGTCAGAAGAAGACGAGGAGGAAGAGGCTGATAGTGATGGGGAGGATGATGACGATGACCAAGATGATGGCAATGATGACGATGACCAAGATGATGGCAATGATGACGATGAGGAGGAAGAGGAAACTGAAGATAGTGCGGAGGGAGAGGGCGAGGGAGATGAGAGTGAGGAGGGAGGTGAGGGAGTTCTGGGTGAGGAGGGAGATGGTGCTGCCTAACAGGGCGGATTTTTTGTTGTAGCTCAGCTTGAGTGTAAATCCTGGCCAGTTTAACTTCACATACGCGATAAACATTTAAGTAATTTGTTTGTTTGTTCAGTCTCTAGAGTACTTGAGAGATGCCCATGTATGAATATATTCATTACACTATTACCTGCTTATGATATTTACACCTCATATACTCATTGATGCCGTTCTAAAGTCCACGCTAGTAATAATTTCGCGCTTTTGTGCCTTCTGCTGTATCAGAGGGGATGGGTTTGCAAGCAGGCGTAGATCCGATAGTAGCAACCCTCGCTTGCTTGATATAAGACCGCGCCGTTAATGTAGCTGCATCGCACGTCCTCCTGCTGGTTGGTTGGTCTCGTGGACTGCCGGCTCGTCGTTCTGCTGTCTTCAGTACAGCTAACGGCTAGTCGTCTCCCTACGTCATGTTCCGCCACGTGTCAGCACGCCAGCGGCAGCTGGCGAGAGCCGCGTCGCTCGCCGTATCTTCCGCCACATCTTCCGCCGCACCGTCCATCGCTGCATTTGGAAGCCGTAGTTTCGGGATCGGGTCGCCGTCGCCGATTTCCGCGTGGCAAGCGCACCTGTTGCCACGTGTCTTCAACGTGGTAAGTTGCCAAGCTGACAGCGTTGGCTTTTCAGAATGTTCCACGTGCTGCCAGCGGAACCGCTGATCAGTCTATCGGGCTGAGGTTAAAAAGTCGTGATACTTAAGTTGGTTTGACGCGTCTCAGAACAGCTTGATTAGGGCTGGCGTTAAGCAGCTGGCAAGTAGGGGAGTCCTGACAGAAGTGAGATTGTGGAAGGGTTGTGGAAGTCTAGAAAAGCGTTTCTGACAACACCCACCTGGTTCCCCTCCCCACTCTTCCCCTCTTCCCCACTTCCCCCTTTCACCCACCGTTACCCAATTTTCTTGTGTAACGCCCTGTCAGGCATCATCGTCACCTCAACCAACCGCTGTCGTGGGAAATGCACACTCTACCCTCTCTCCGTCACTATTGCGATCACCATCGCCTTCAGCACCGCTGCTCCAGCCTGGAATGATTGCCTTGAGAACCCGTTCGCCTCTCATCCCATCCTCCTCGCTTATCTCTAGCCATGGCCTTGCCACGTCAGCCACATCCACACCAGCTGCTGCAGCCACGTCAGCCACATCCACACCAGCTGCTGCAGCCACGTCAGCCACATCCACACCAGCTGCTGCAGCCACGTCAGCCACATCCACACCAGCTGCTGCAGTCACGCCAGCTTCATCAACATCAGCATCACCACCATCAACATCAGCAGCAGCTGGAGCAGAAGGTGCAGTGTCAACAGGGGGGGTTGGAGTCGCAGCAGCTGGGGAGCCGGGAGTGGGGAATGGGAGGATCCGGGTGAAGACAAAAGCGCTGACGAAACAAGCAAAGCACATCATGAATGTGAGTCAAATGTGAACATGCAGCACTGAGCATGCATGCATGCAACATGCAGCATCCATGCACCATCAAGCATGCAGCAACAGGAGAGCGGAGTGGGGAGTGGGAGGTTTCGGTTGAAGACAAAGCGCTGACGAAACAAGCAAAGCACATCATGAATGTGAGTTATTGCGAGCATGCAGCATTGCACCCAGCCAGCATGCGGTGTCCCCCTTCCCCCGCTGATCCTGGATGAAGAGGCCACAGGTTCTCTGTGCCAGCCAGGAGCGCAAAACATCCCTCCCCCTCCTTCCTCCTCCCTTCCCCCCTTTCCCCCCCTCTCCACCCCCCGCCATCCTCTCAGCCTGTTTTTTTTTTATCTCGTTTCCCTTTCCCAACCCCAATCCGTTCCCCCTTCCCATCCCCCTCTTCTCCCAAATCCTCAATGCAGAGGCCATAGATTCACTGCGCCAGGAGCGCAACATTTTCTGTCCTTCCTCTTCCCCTGTTTTCCACTTCAAACTCTTCCTTCCCCCTCTCAGATTCTGCAAGCAGAGGCTCTGGATTCGCTGTGCCGGAACCTCAGCGTTACTTTTCCCCATGCCCCCCTTCCCCCTTTTCCCCCTTCGTTGCATACCTTCCCCTTCCCCTTCTCAGCTCCTGGATGTAGTAGAGGCGACCGGTTAGCTGCGCCAGGAGTACCACCCCTCCTTCCCCCAATTTCTCTCAACTTCCCCCAATTTCTCTCAACGTCCCCCAATTTCTCTCAACTTCCCCCAATTTCTCTCCCCCTCTCCCCCATCCCCCAACCCTTCCCCTCCCCTTCTCAGCTCCTGGATGCAGAGGCGACCGGTTAGCTGCGCCAGGAGTACCACCCCTCCTTCCCCCAATTTCTATCCACTCCCCCCCCCTCTCCCGCCCTCCCACAACTCTTACCCCCACCCACCTCCCCCCATCCTTCCCTCCCTCCCTTCCCCCCTGGCCCCGCAGATCCTCGATGCAGATGCGACCGGTTCGTTGCGCCAGGAATGCAACGTTAATTCTCCTTCCTCTTCCCCTACCACACTCCCACGCCTCTTTCCCCCCGCACCCCCACATCCTCGATGCAGATGCCACGGGTTCGCTGCGCCAGCCAGTCATGCAATATGCCAGGTCCAAATCTGGAGACGATCACTTGTTCATGCTTGTACAAGCTTCGTTTGATTCCGTATTCTTCCACCCGCCCCGCTCTTCCCTCCTCCCCTCCTCCGCCTCCTCCCTTCTCCCTCCTCAGATCCTGGTTGCAGAGGCCACAGGTTCCCTGCAAGAGCATCGAAACATGCCCTTTCCTCCCCCCTCCCCTCGTTTCCCGCCGTTAACTTGTCTTCCCTCCTCCCCTCCGCCTCCTCCCTCCACCTCCTCCCTCCTCAGATCCTGGATGCAGAGGCCACGGGTGCCCTGCGAGAGCATCAAAACATGCCTTTTCCTCCCCCCTCCCCCCGTTTCTCGCCGTTAACTTGTCTCCCCTCCTCCCCTATGCCTCCTGCCGCTCCTCCTCCGCCTCCTCCTCCTCCCCCGCCTCCTCCCTCCTCAGATCCTGGATGCAGAGGCCACGGGTGTCCTGCGAGAGCAACGGAACATGCCAGACTTCAAGCCGGGGGACGTTCTATCCATGAAGATTGTACGTGCTTACTTTTGAGGTATTGTGCTTGTAAAGCAGGGAAATTGGAAATTATCTGCTTGTTGTAGCGAAGGGCTTGTGCTTGGGCCTGGCTGGTGCTCTAACCACACGTCCGCTGGTAGGCGCGGCTGCGGAGATGCCAGAATTCAAGCCAGGAGGCGATCTCATGACTTTTGAGTCGACTCAAATGTCACCTGGTAGGCGCGGCTGCGGACATGCCAGACTTCAAGCCAGAGGACCGCTGGTTTGAGCACCAGCCGGGCTGGGGATCGCTGGGGGCGTTCTCTCTAATTAGGTTGTGCTTGATCTCTTCTGAAGGTTTGTGACGCTTTTGAGAGTGGTTAAAAGTCGAGCGGGAAGGGGCGGCGGGGACATACGTTCCGCCGTGGTGCGTGTTTCTCTAAACGTTTTTGCCTGAAGTTGGCTATATGTGGGTCACTTTTAGAAATTCAAAGAGAGAGGTTTGTGCTTGCTTATCAAGATTTTTGGGTACTCGCTCGTAGCACACTTGTAGTGAAGGCAGCAGCCCCACTTTCCTTCTTCCTCCTCCTGCCCCACAGACTCACCTCACCTCATCCCTTCCCTTTCTCCTCTGCACAACATGAGGAGTGCATGGCGACCATGTAGAAAGGACTGCTTGCGACCATGTGCTCTCGTGTAGCTCCTCTCCCTTAATGGTGGCGACCATGTAGTTCCTCTCCAACCAGCAGCCCTTCTTCCTCCAATTTTCCTTAACACCCACCCACCCCCATTTTACCCGCTTCCTCCCTCAGGGAGGCGCCTGAGAACAAGCGGCGCACGCCGGTAGTGAACGGGATGGTCATTCATTTCTCGCATGAATGCAAGCATCTGCTCCACACCCGTTTTTTGAGTCGACTCAAAAGTCACGCCGGTAGTGAACGGGATGGTCGTTCCTCGCAATGCAAGCATCTTCTCCACACCCGTTTCTCTTCTCCATCATCACCCCACCCCTCCACACTTCCTCCTCTCTCGCTTCCCCTCTCAAGCTCCCTCCCTCTCTCCCAGCCCAGGAGGTGCCTGAGAACAAGCGGCGCACGCCAAGAGTGAAACCCATCGTCATCGCTCGCTGAAACACTGGCATCGGCTCCACGTTCCTTTTTCTGCTTCCCCCGCTTCCTTCCTCCATTCGCCTCTCGCCATTCCTGCCTTTCCCCACCTCCCCACCTCCCCACCTCCCCACCTCCCCACCTCCCCACCTCCCCACCTCCCCCTCCCCCTCCCACTCCCCTCCCCCCTGCCACTTCCGTCTCTCAGGAGGTGCCTGAGAACAAGCGGTGCACGTCAAGAGTGAAGCACATCGTCATCGCTCGCAGGAATGCCGGTATCGGCTCCACACTCCTTCGCTCTGCGTTCTTCCGTTTCCCTCACCACCCTATCACTTCCCTCTCCAGGAGGTGCCTGAGAACAAGCGGCGCACGTCAATAGTGAAGCACATCGCCATCGCTCGCAGGAATGCCGGCATCGGCTCCATGTTCCTTCGCTCTCCTCACTCCCCCCTTTCCCCTTCTCCTTCTATCTCCCTTTTCCAGGAGGTGCCTGAGAACAAACGGCGCACGTCAATAGTGAAGGGCATCGTCATTGCGCGCAGGAACGCCGGCATCGGCTCCACTTTCCGCATCCGCCGCATGCTGGCAGGCGTCGGCGTCGAGATGTCCTTCCCTCTGTGAGTGGCTTTGGGCCGTTCTAAAAGCATAGTGTGTGTTTTAGCGTGCTTGTCTTGAGTGCTGGCAGGCGTCGGCGTCGAGATGTCCTTCCCTCTGTGAGTCCCTTTGCGTGTGAGTGTCAGTGTGTCACTTTAATCAGGTCGCTAGAAGCTCATGCTCTGTACCAGCATTGCCTCCACATTCCGTATCCGCCGCATGGCGTGGGCGTCGAGATGTCCTTCCCTCTGTGAGTGGCTTTGGGGCGCTCTAAAAGCATAGTGCGTGCTTGCTTGTCTTGTGTGCTGGCGGGCATGGGCGTCGAGATGTATCGCTTAAATCACAGCTAGATGCTGTGTGTTCCGGTATCGGCTCCACATTCCGCATTCGCCGCATGCTGGCCGGCGTGGGCGTCGAGATGTCCTTCCCACTGTGAGTCTCGTACTGTTTCAGTGTCAGTGGCATGTGTCACTTTCTGCACCATCAGATGCCGCTGTGCTGACGTCGGCCCCCTCTGTGAGTGTCTGAGTGTGAAAGTTTTGGATGCTTCTGCCACTTTCTTCTGTGCTCACACTGCTGTTCATTGTTTTTGCCACATGCCGCATTAGCATACGGACATTGCTAGCATGGTTGGCACTTGCTGGTAGGCTTGGGGCATGAAATGGTATTCAGCTGAAGTGTGAATGCTTTTCGCTCCTTCTAAGAACCGATTACAGAAGCGGTGTGTGTTGCTCATGTTTTCGTGAGTCCTATGATGGCTGTTCTGTTTGTCTTCTCATCTGCTGCACCTGCTTGGCATGGCACTGTGTTTACAGCTGATATGGTGTTTCTAGGATTCCATTCATAGTTGGTGACAGTTGTCAAACAAAAGTACTGTACCAACTCCCCGGCTCTGTATTGTTTTTACTTTTCCTGGCCACAGGTACTCTCCCAACATCAAGGAGATAACGGTGATAGGAACTCGGAAGGTCAGGAGGGCGAAGTTGTATTATCTGAGGGACAAGGTCGCCCGTATGTCTGCTGTTTAGGGATGGATCTCTGAAGGAATTGAAGGAGTTCCAGCTATGCGCATGAGGTTATGGCATATTGGGTTTATGTACCGTTCGTTTCTCAATAGCACCTTGAATCACGTGACGAAGACACTGCAATCGAGTCCTACGAAACCTCCATGCCATCTCGTCCATCCTGGCGGGTCGCATGCACCCTGCCAGGCGTCGGTCTGCCACGCACTCGCCACGCAATCTGTCCCTCCCTTCCCTTGTCCGCCATCTCAACAAAATCTTCAAGGCAGCACCGACGGTGGTGATGGGGCTAGCTCTTGTTGATGGAGGAGTTCCTAGCGGCGATCCGACGACTCTTGTTTCGCCGTTCTAGAAAGCCGTTTAGCCTATTGTCAAGGCGGTTATTAGAACCTAGAGTGTGTCGCCGCGCGGTGAATGTTGTTGACCCCGCATGACAGCCGCGCGTGTCGGAAGGGCCCCACGTGGCGGGCACAAACCAAACTCCGCGGCCCTTCGAGCCGCTTGGCGGCAAATTACCATCAGTTCATCCTCACGCCATAGGAATCTGATAGTCAGAGATTTGGTGGCCATACTAGGACTCGCACACAAATATCGAGATGCCCTTGCGGAGATTTTCCGGAATGAATTGCGACCGAGTTGTTCCGCCGCCGATGACTCAACTCAACCCATCCGCGCGACACCGCCTCGTGAGGGTCTCGTGTCCGAGACGAACACCGCGAACCCTCGTGGCCGAAAGCGCGGGAAGGGAACAAGCAGGCGTTGGCGACGGGGGAAGGGGGTTTGCTCATCTCTCTTCCGGTGGACTCATTGCCGTTGCCGTTTCAATGGAATGCTTGTTCGCAAAAGTTCGCTTGGTTGGGAGCATCCAATGGAATGCTTTGCGGAGAGCGCGACAGGCGAATGATGATTTCACTCAGCTGCGAGCTTTTCCATGAGCCACTATCTAGTTATCAGGCAAGAGTGCAGCAGAGCAGGTAGAACGGGGGACAGTGAGAGGCTTTTTATCTCAGACTTGCTCGTCTAGTGAGGGAAGCGCGTCGACTCTCAGCAAGCCACAGTAGTCAGACCATGGCGATGGTCAAGGATCCGACGGCTCGTGTCCACTTCGCTTTGCCAGAAGAAAATTCCATCGTCGAAATCTCAAATTCGCAAAAGCTACAGCCTCCACTTCCTGCCGCGACCCGCTTGCTCTGCCCAATTGACACTCTTTCTCCCGAGCTGCTCCTTCGAATCTTCGAGTTCCTCGAGGCAGACGCCGAGCCGCAGGACGACACCTCCTTCGCTTCCCCCTCCCTCTCCTCCGCTTCTTCTCCCTCACTCTCCCAGGCCGACCCTGCTCGTCTCCCTCCTCTCCCAGCTCTCTTTCGCAACCTTACCTCGTCACTCCTCCCCTCTGTAACACATTCTACGCAATCTACAGTGGTGCGTTCCTCCTCCAGTAATTCCGAAGGAACCGTTCGTGATTGTTCCTTTCCTCCTTTGAGCCACGCGGCGTTCAGGCATCCCTTCAGCCATGCGCTCGTCTGTTCTTCCTGGTACCGCCTCGCGCGCCAATCGCGCTCAGCTATTCGCATTCGCGCCGGCCGCCTACTTGACTCACGCACTCTACCCGTTCAGATCTCCGACTCCGTCTATCCGTCGCTCACGGCGCTGAATCTGGAAGCGCGGAGCTTGCGACAAGTGAACGATGCTTTTGTCGCGAGCCTCGCGACGCATTGTCGTCGCCTGACTCGCTTGACGATTCATTGGATGTCGCACGGGGACGTCAGCGAGGAGGGTTTTGCCGCGCTCGCTACGGGTTGTACGCGTTTGGAACAGCTCCGCTTTTTGCACGGCACGAGTGCGTTCAGCCTGCCTCAGTCCTTTCAGCTGCCATCGCTCACGCATCTGACAATCGCACGTTGCCTGAATCTCGCCTCGCTCCCTCCTAACATTGCCCAGGCTTTGCCAAGTCTTAGAGAGCTTGATCTAGACGGTAGTACGACCCTCTGCTGCTTACCTCTTTCGTTGGCTAGCCTTCCCTCCCTTCGCCGCCTCAGCCTGCGAGATTTATCCCGCCTGGCTGAGCTGCCCGCGAATATTGGGCAGCTACCTCAACTACGCGAGCTAGTGCTGGATTGGTTGATATCTCTTCGCCGCTTGCCCAACTCTCTTGGGCAGCTGTCGACACTTGAAAGGCTTGTGATGTTGCGGTGCCGCAAACTGGCTCTGCCAGAAGGGTTTGAACAATTGCCACAACTGAAGGAGATTGTAACGACTGAACTGTTTTAGTTTTGCCAGTAAGTCAATATTTGTTTGTTGTAATACAAGTTGTAAATTTCCCATCTCTGCAACAACTTAGTTGGGAAATAGTTATATGAAAGTGCTGCACTGGATAACGTGTACGGCAAAAATAACGGAACTATCAGGCACGTATGACACTGACGCTCCTAGAAATCCCTAAAACTAAGCCGGACATCCTCATCTTTGCCTCTTCCCCTTCCGCGCCCTCTTCCTCTACCACCTCTTCCTCTTCCCCTCCCACGCCCTCTTCCCCTCCTCCCATAAAACACTCGCCCATGCTTCATCTCCAACAGTGAAAGTAGCAACTCGTCGCACAACACACACCCATGATGAACTGTAGCACCACCTGGTAACGGCGAAGCATCCTTGTGAAAATCCACTTCAATTATCCGGGCAGATCTGCACTCGGGGCACCAACCACCCTCTTTCTCACCCTCCTGCCCCTGCTGCCCCTGCTTCCCCTGCTGTTGGGCTTTTAGCAAAGAGCCGGAATCACCGAATGCGAACAAGGGCACCACTGCCATTTTGTGTACGTTGGCTTTTATGAAAACTACGCAGCTGCAGCGGTTGCAATCTAAGCGCCATTTAGGGGCACTTACAGGGTCCAGGACCAAAGTCCCTTCACACTCAGGGCAGGGACACACGCCCATGCTCACCAGTGAATGGCAGCACGACACGTGGCGACAGCTCGTGCAGGCCATGCCAGAGAAGACTGAGGAGCCTGTCCTAGAGGAGGCTTGGGAGGTAGGTCCGGAAGAAGACTCGGCAGCAGGTTTGGAGGAGGCAGCGGTGCTGGCAGCGGGAGTGATTGGCTTTCCCAGGTCTTCAAAGGGAGGATGGTTGTAGCAGTACGGGCAGAGAGGGAACGTTTTCCCTTCTGGTCCGGGCAGAGAGTAAAGAACCAGTTCATAGTTGTCGAGCGGGCAGGTGAGCTCCTTGTAGAGCTGTGGAGAAAAGAAAAGAGAAGAAAAAAGCCGGGATTTGATGCGCCGTTATGAGAGAGGTTGAAGATGGCTTCACACGTGGGGCAGAACGCTAAATCTGAACCAACTCAAGTCAGTTTGTTAGATTGTCAGATGACATGACACATTTCTAGTCTATCCAAAGCTTACCTTGATAGCACCGTTCTGAGGGAGATTGAAAATGTCTTCACACATGGGGCAAAGCAGCCGTATGGGATTCAACGGCACAAAGCAGCCCCTGCGGCTAACCTTGAAATTTCTGCCACGCTCTCCCTGCCAATTACGTAACTAACCTTGATGGCGCCATTCTGAGGGAGGTTGAAGATGTCTTCACAGGTGGGGCAGAAGAGCCGTGTTGGTTTCAGCGGTACGAAGCGCATGAACCGCCCGCACTTGCCGCAGCGACCCATGGGCTTTCCCGAGGCGGCGAGAGGGGAGAAATGGGCTTCAAAGAGGGAGTCCATGCGAGCGATCTGCAAGAGAGAGGGAATAGAAGGGGCAGGTAAAGTGGAATTGAGGTGATTTTGGAGTGGACTCCAAGGGCACTTGCTGCAGCGACCCATGGGCTTGCCCGAGGCGGCGAGAGGGGAGAAATGGGCTTCAAAGAGAGAGTCCATGCGAGCGATCTGCAAGAGAGAGGGAATAGAAGGGGCAGGTAAAGTGGAATTGAGGTGATTTTGGAGTGGACTCCAAGGACACTTGCCGCAGCGACCCCTGGGCTTGCCCGAGGCGGCGAGAGGGGAGAAATGGGCTTCAAAGAGAGAGTCCATGCGAGCGATCTGGAGGAGAGAGGGAAGAACAGGGACAGCATAGAGGGAATTGTGGTGAGGAGAAGTGCGCCTCAAACAGCGAATCCATTCGAGCAAGCTGGGAGAGAAGAGGGATAAAAGAGGGAGCAAAGGGTTCAACAGCTCTTGCCGCAGCGACCCATGGGCTTGCCAGAGGCGGCGAGAGGGGAGAAGTGCGCCTAAAAAAGGGAGTCCATGCGAGAAATCTGGGAGAGAGAGTTGAAAGAGGAGAGGTGGCATAAAATTTTATCATGTTGGGTTGAGTGGATTCCTTGAACACTTGCCGCAGCGACCCATGGACTTGTCAGATGCAGCGAGAGGGGAGAAGTGCGCCTCAAATAGGGAGTCCATGCGAGAAATCTGGAAGGGGGAGGGAAGAACGGGAGCAGCACAGGAGAGATTGTGGTGAGTTTGGAGGAGTGGGCTCCAAAGAGCACTCGCCGCAGCAACACCCATGGGCTTGCCAGAGGCAGCGAGAGGGGAGGGGAGAAGTGTGTCCACGTTCAAAGAGGGAGTCCATGCGAGGTGTGGTCCACCTTGCCTCCGAGGGGAGTTTTCCCATGCTTCGTAGGGAATCGCACTCCACCATCAGCATCGCATCGGAATCACCTGCTGACAAAGTGTGTTTTTTGAGAATTCTCAAAACACACACATCGTAGGGTATCGCACTCCTCCATCAGCATTGCACTCACCTGCTGACGAACTACTTGAACTTTTCTGAGAACTGCTGCAGCACGAGGGTTACTACCACCCTGCCGTGGTCCGCCTTGTTGCCTGAGTTGACAGGTCACGTCAATCATTCAAAGAGTAGCCAAATAACAAACCATAACACCCACCTGGCTGACAAAGTATTTTGAACTTTTCGAAGAACTGCTGCAGCACGAGGGTTACTACCACCCTGCCGTGGTCCGCCTTGTCGCCTGAGTTGACAGGTCATGTCAATCATTCAAAGAGTAGCCAAATAACAAACCATAACACCCACCTGGCTGACAAAGTATTTGAACTTTTCGAAGAACTGCTGCAGCACGAGGGTCACCACCCTGCCGTGGTCCGCCTTGCATCCGAATTTGACACGGCCATTTTATCCATAGGCTATACTTTGATAACTATCACACACACCCACCTGGCTGACAAAGTATTTGAACTTTTCTGAGAACTGCTGCAGCACGAGAGTCACCACCCTGCCGTGGTCTGCCTTGCCCTGCGCGATCAGCGTGACCTCTCATAGCATGCTGCTTGCTTCACCGTACTCACTCACACAAACACCCACCTGGCTGACAAAGTATCTGAACTCCTCGAGGAACTGCTGCAGCACGAGGGTCACCACCCTGCCGCAGTCCGTTTTGCTCTTTGAATTGACAAGTCCAAGATCCATTCACTGGATACTTAACTGAAGAACCAGTGCAACCACACACCTGGCTGACAAAATACTAGAACTTCTAGAAAAACTGTTGCAGTACGAGAGTCACCACCCTGCCACGGTCCGCCTTGCTTCTTGAGTTGACACACCCCGCCATCCATTCATTCACAAGATAACCCCCTGACAAACCACCACACCCACACACCTGGCTGACAAAGTACTTGAATTTCACTGAGAACTGCTGCAGCACGAGAGTCACCACCCTGCTGTGGTGCACCCTTGTAATTGTACGGTACACAACTGAACAACCATCACACACACTCACCTGACTCACAGAACATTTACCTGGCTGACAAAGTATTTGAACTTCTCGAAGAACTGCTGCAGCACGAGCGTCACCACCCTGCCGTGGTCCGCCTTGCCCTGCGCGATCAGCGTGATCTGCTGCTCTATGAACCGTCGGATGTCCGGCAAGCAAAGGTCCGGATCGATCTGCTGGTACCCGCGCACGAGTGTGGTGCCGAGGGTTGTGGGTACAATCTTACGACCTGGGGCCACCTGGTGGAAGGAGAAAAAAAAGGGGTGTTGTGGAGAAAGAAGGGAAGTGAGTGGCAAGCAAAGGTCCAGATCGAATTCCTGCACGAGCACCACCCCCAACCACACCTTCTCCACTTGCGCTCACAGATGTTGGTGATAGCAACAAGCATTGCTATGCCTGTGCACGGAACTGGACGCGCCAGTGCCATTGCTACTATCCCAACCGCCCCTCTCCCACCTGCTCCCCCCATCTCCCCCCATCTCTTCCCCTCTCCCCTCCTCTCCCCGCTCCCCCCAACCCCTCCCTACTTGCGCATGCTTCCGCTTGTAGATGTTGTTGATGTGGACGGGGATGGAAGCGTCTGTGTCAGGTGTGTGTCAAGTTGAATCGAAACACACCCGCCCCAGAACCCCCCACCCACCCCTTCTCCCCCCCCTCCCTGTACCTGCGCATAGTTCCGCTCGCAGATGTTGTTGATTTGGACGGGGATGGACGCATCCGTGCCGATGCCACGTGTGTGTTGATTCAACTTAAGAAAAAGTCCCCCATCCCCCTTCCCCCCTTGCCTGAGCATAGTTCCGTTCACAGATGTTGTTGATGTGCACGGGGATGGACGCATCCGTGCCGATGCCGTGCAACGTGTGTCTGGATTTGAATATGAACACCCCGCAATACCCCCTTGTCCCGCCCCCAAACCCCTCCCTACCTGTGCATAATTCCGTTCACAGATGTTGTTGATGTGAACGGGGATGGACGCATCAGTGCCGATGCCGTGTCGCTCCATCAGCCCAATCAGCTCGCTCTCAGTCAGGTAGTCAGGTGGGGAGGTGCGGCCCTGAAGGTGGTGGGAGGTGGTACAGAGCGGTTACAAGCTCAGCTTCACACATGAAGTACAGGGGTGGAACCGTACCGAAACAATGCGTTCGATCGAATCACTCTTAAGAATTTCTATAAGAGCCTCACCAATGCGTTCACACGTTGTGAATCAAAACGAGCCCCCCCCCCTCCTCTCACCTCGTACAGCTCTACTGCGCTCAGTGCAATGACCCCTCACTGTGCGAAGGCTCGAAACCCCTCCACATAACAAGCCATGAAAGGCGGCACCTGCCCTCAACTCACAGAGTTCAACTGAACTCTTATCACAGGAGAATAGAGATTCGACGAGGATCCAGCAGCCTAAACACGTTCTAGAATCAGTTCAACAGTTTTGGAGGTAACAGGCAACATCCTGAACTCAGTGCAATGCTCTCTCCCTGCGTGAAAGTTGGAAGCCCCTCGCCTCCCACGGCCAGCCACGGCATGATTGCAGTGAATTGACTTTTGAGTCGACTCAAAAGTTGGAAGCCCCTCGCCTCCCACCCACCGCCAGCCACGGCATGATTGCAGTGAAGGGCAGCAGCACAGGGGAGAGCCTGGTAACACCTCCATCTCTCCTCACCGCACTTCACCGCACCTCACCTCATAGAGCTCCACGGCACTCAGTGCAACGCTCTCCCCCTGCACGAAGGTTGGGAGCCCCTTATCTCTCACGGCCAGCCACTGCATGACTGCAGTGAAAGGCAGCAGCACAGGGGATAACCTGGTAACACCTACACCTCCCCTCACCGCACCTCACCACATATTACCTCATACAGCTCCACGGCACTCAGTGCAACGCTCTCCCCCTGCACGAAGGCGGGGAGCCCCTCGTCCCCCACCGCCAGCCACGGCATGACTGCAGTGAATCCTGCAGATATCAGCTTTCGTCCCGATGCTGAGAAGTGCTCTCCAGCCACTGAGAAGGTGACACGTGTCCTGGTGGGGAGGAGAGGTGGGGACAGGAGCTATGTGACGGAAGACGCAAGGCGCGTCTTGCGTCTAGCGTCTAGACGCAGCGTCTAGACGCTAGACGCTTGGGTAAAAAAAACTCGGTCAGCCCGAAAAATAAAAATCGCGCGGCCGAAATTGAATTTCGCGATTTCGATGCGAAATTCAATTTCGCAACATTTGCACCCCTTCCCACCCATTTCGACCTTAGAAACAAGCCCCCCATGCAAAATTGATATCCCTTCAACCAAAATTGAACACAAAGTAGTAGTAGAGAGACGTAGTAGTAGCTATTTACTTCATGTTTGCTACTGCTAGAGAGACGTGGTTCCCTAACTATGTATGATGAGAAATGAGGATTTTTGTGAACTCTAAATATGGGGAAAAAGTTTTGGTACGGCGAAAATTTGACCCAAATGTGCCATATGTGCATGTCCCCCACCCTCCCATGGCCCTCAGAAGTTTTTTTTAGGCTGCCCGAACATTTGTTTTTAGGCCTGCCCGGGTTTTCGTCTAATATGCGTCTAACCTAGCCGGAAATGCGTCTAGCGTCTTAGACGCTGCGTCTAGACGCAACCGTCTAAGACGCTAGACGCGTCTTCCGTCACATAGGACAGGAGGAGCGGTGAGGAGGGGAGGGGCAAAGAGATGACACAGGAACTAGACGGACGAAGAAGTGGGGAACAAGGATGGAAATGAGAGGAAGGGGGGAAATCGAGGAGAGGGAGAACAAGAGCGGAGCCGCGAAGGAGAATGAGAGAAGAGGAAAAAAGAGAGGAGAAAGAAGTACTTCCTATCCCACACTCCAAGAATCCCGTACAATCCTGTGACTTGACTTGACCTCTCCCATACTCACTTTTGAGGCGCCTCAAAAGATGACTTGACCTCTCCCATACTCACTTTTGAGGCGCCTCAAAAGATGACTTGACCTCTCCCATACTCACTTTTGAGGCGCCTCAAAAGATGACTTGACCTCTCCCATACTCACTTTTGAGGCGCCTCAAAAGATGACTTGACCTCTCCCATACTCACCTTGCGATCCTGCAGTCAGGGCTGAAGCTCCCTATGAAGTGCCTCGTTACAAGGTCATACAGCCGCCACGCATCCCCGCCGCCCAGCTCCCCCTCGTCCGCAGCGCGCATGGGCGTGATGGGCGGGTGGTCTCCCTCGTCTTTCCCCGCCCTGGGCGGCGAGGGCCCGAGCTGCAGCAGAGATTGCACGTACTCCCCCCATATGGGATGCCATGACTGTATCGAAAGGGCTTCTTTATAGTCAAAGGAGGACGGGTAGGCTGTTGACTCCGTTCGAGGGTAGCTGGAAAGGAGAGGGGAGAGGGACAGGTGGGCAGATGGGTAGAGAAAGGGGACAGATGATAAGGGGCAAAGGGGTTTGTTGGTATGAGAGTGCACGTAAACGGTAAACCCCCTAATATGGGATGGCGTGACGGTATCGAAACGACATCTTTATAGTCAAAGGAGGAGGCGTAGGGAGTGGATTCGGTGCGAGGGTAGCTGGGAACGTAGCGGGGAGGGGGGAAAGGGGAGAATGGCGAAGAGGACAGAGAAGGTGAAGTCGGGATGCAAGGACGCTATTTTTAAGGCGCCTCAGAAGTTGCGATGCAAATGATGTCTTTAAAGAATTCTCAAAGAACACATGCGATCCAAAGGACGTCCTCTGCGAAAGAGAGTATTTATAGTCAAAAGAGGCACGGTAGGCTGCCGACTTGGTGCGAGGATAGCTGGAAAGTGCAGATGGGGAGGGCAGGTGGAGGATCGTTAGAAAAGAAGGAAGATGATATCGAAGAGTGGCAGAGGAGCTGGTGCATGCGGAGGAGCGGAACGAGGCAATGCGTCAGCTGACGGTGTGTGCGAAGCAGTGAAAGGAAGCAGTGCGTCAGCTAGTGGTGGATGCAGAGCAGCGGAAAGAGGCAGTGCGTCAGCTGGTGGTGCACGCAGAGCAGCGAAAAGAGGCAGTGCCTCAGCTGGTGGTGCATGCGGAGCAGCGGAAAGAGGCAATGCGTCAGCTGGTGTTGCATGCGGAGCAACGGGAGGAGGCAGTGCGTCACCTGGTGGTGCATGCGGAGCAGCGGGAGGAGGCAGTGCGTCAGCTGGTGGTGGATGTGGAGCAGCTGACGCACTGCCTCTTTCCGCTGCTCCGCATGCATGCACCACCAGCTGACGCACTACCTCTTTCCGCTGCCCCGCACGCACCACCAACTAACTGACGCACTACTTCCTTACGCTGCTTCGCACGCACCACCAGCTGACGCATTGCCTCGTTCCGCTCCTTTTCACACTCCCTCCCCTTCTCACCTGATGTAACCCTGAGTGTAAAGTCTCTCAGCGATCTGCATGGCGTGGTGCGGCCCCATGCCCAGCCCACTGGACGCAGCTTTCAGCATCTCCACCGTGTTCAGCCCTGTAGGTCGCCCCTTCCTCTCCTCCTTCATTGCAACACTCTTCACAACCGCAGCACCGCCTGCCGCCACATCCCTCTGAAAGAACTCTGCAACCTGCCAGTGAGTGGGATGGGGAGGAGAAGAGAGGGTAAGGGAAATGGTGAGTGTTCAACCCTGAAGGTTGCCAGTTCCTCTCCTCCTTCATTGCAACACTCTTCACAACTGCGGCCCCCGCCGCTGCAACATCCATCTGAAAAAACTCTGCAACCTGGCAGCAAGAGAAAGAGGGGAAACAGGAGAGTGTTCAGCCCTGTGGGCCGCCCCTTACTCTCCTCCTTCCCTACAACGCTCGTCACAGTGGCAGTGCTGCCTGCTCAGCTGCCACATCCCTCTGAAAGAGCTCTGCACCCTGCCAGCAAGCCGAGAGGGGAAAGGGGGGAGGAGGGAGGGTGCGGCAACCTCCGAAAGAACTCCGCAACCTCACTTCCTCTTTCCCCTCCTTACACCCCCCCTCCCTCCCCCCCAGAACCAGACCTCATCTCCTGGTCGAAGAGCCTGCTTTTGAGTCGACTTAGAAACAGCCCCCCTCCTCTCACCTCCTCTCACCTCCTCTCACCTCCGTGTCGAACAGCCCCCCTCCTCTCACCTCCGTGTCGAACAGCCGTCCCCGAGCAAGCCCATTGCAGCGCCAGCTGGCGGCCGTCCCTGTTTCAGTTAACAGCCCACCCTTAGCTCCCCCTCCATTCCCCCTCTTCCCTCACCACTCAACCCCTACTCTTTTCCCACTCCTCCTCCTCCACTCACCTTCTTGTCAAACAGTCGCCCCCGATTAAGTTTATTGCAGAGTTGACTTTTGAGTCGACTCAAGAGTCAAGACTCAGAAGTCAACTCTCGTCCTTCTCCACTCACCTTCGTGTCGAACAGCCGCCCCCAAGCAAGCCCACTGCAGTGCCAGCTGGTGGCCGCTCCTGAAGCAGACCCCCCTCCATTTTTCTCCACCAACCCCCCTGCACTGCTACACTACACCCACCCGCACTCCCCCCCACGCCTCCTCTCACCTCCTTGTCGAACAGCCGTCCACGAGCCCACTGCAGGGCCAGCTGGTGGCTAACACTGAAGCACATCTCACTTCCTCTCCTGTAACCCCCACTATCACCTCCCTACACCCCCCCACCCCCATCTTCCCCTCCTCTCACCTCCTTGTCGAACAGCCTCCCCGCGCCCACTGCAGCGCCAGCTGGCGGCCGTCAGTAAAGCACATCTCACTTCCTCCCTCTCCTCCTTGCAATGCCCCCCTTCCCGCCGCGCCTCCTCTCAACTCCTTGTCGAACAGCCGCCCCTGCGCCCACTGCAGGGCCAACTGGCGGCCGTCATTACAGCACACCTCACTTCTTCCCTCCCGAGCGGTCCTTGCACCCCGCCTCTCTCCCACGCCTCACCTCCTTGTCGAACAGTCTCCCCCGCGCCCACTGCAGCGCCAGCTGGCGGCCGTCGCGAACCACGATTGGCCGCACCGCCCAGAAGGGCTCCGAGACAAACGACGTGATGCGCTGGTGGCGGGCGACGCAGAAGCCGAGCGTGGGCGTCTGGCACGGACCGTACCTGCACGGGGGGGTCGGTGCAGGCATGGGAGCAGGAAAGGGGAGGGGGGGGGTTGTGATATGGTATGGAAACATCGTATGCGCTGGTGGTGCACCACACAGAAGCCGAGCGTGGGCGTCTGGCACAGACTGCACCTGCACGGGAGGTTTATACAGTGTGTGTGTGGGGGGATGGAGGGGGACATACGACAGAGGGAACCAGAACAGTAAGACGATGCACTGAACATGGAAGAAACTCATTTGAGGAGATACTCACTCGGCTATATATGCACTGAACAAGCCAAGGTCCTTATATAAAGCCACTCACGAGATGAGCGACGAGTCGAGGTTGCCGTATTTCCCTTGAAAGAAGCGCGTCTGGAACCGGGTGAACGCCACGCCCACTTTCAGGTCAATCTCCTGCCTCGCATCCACTGCCTTGGCCTCCGCCTCGTTGGGCGGCCCCAGCCGAGCCATCGCCTGCCGAATGTCCTTCTCGCCTATCGCTGAGAATTTAGCTCGGAACACATTCTGTGGCGACCTCATGCTGGGCTGGGTGTGGGCCATCACTGGTGGTGGGGGAGGGTAGGATATTTGGGCCGGAAAGTGGGAAGAGGAAAGAAGGGGGTTTGCAGAGGGAACTTGCATATATTGGGTTATGGTCGATCTCCTGCCTCACATCCACCACCTTGGCTTCTGCCTCGTTGGGCGCCCCCCCAGCCGTGCCATCGCCTGCCGAATGTCCTTCTCTCCTATGGCTGAAAATTTAGCTCGGAAGACGTTCTGTGGCGACCGCATGCTGGGCTGGGTGTGGGCCATCACTGCAGGCACACAAAGGAGGGATAGGATAGGATAGGATAGGATAAGATAGGTAGGATAGGATAGGATAGGATAGGATAGGATAGGACAGGATAGGATAGGATAGGATAGGATCGGATAGGATAGGATAGGATCGGATAAGATAGGTAGTATAGGATAGGATAGGATAGGACAGGATAGGATAGGATAGGATAGGATCGGATAGGATAGGATAGGATAGGATAGGATCGGATCGGATAAGATAGGTAGGATAGGATAGGATAGGATAGGATAGGATAGGATAGGATAGGATAGGATAGGATAGGAAAGGACAGGATAGGATAGGATAGGATAGGATCGGATAGGATAGGATAGGATAGGTTAGGGATTGGAGGCAGTGGGTTGGGTCGACGTAAGGATGAGAGGAGGAGAGAAAGTAAGAGCCATGGTCCCATTCGGTCTCCTTCCTTGCATCCACTTTCTTTGCTTCCGCCTCGTTGGGCGCCCCCCCCAGCCGAGCCATCGCCTGCCGAATGTCCTTCTCTCCTATCGCTGAAAACTTGGCTCTACACACGTTTTGAGGGGACCTTATACTGGGCTGAGAGAGTGCCATCACTGGTGGAAGGGGAGATTTGAAAACCCCCAGATTGAGGAGAAGTAAGGATGAGATGAAAACGGGGAGGAAGGTGTCGAAAACACCTGGTCCCATTTCCTGCATCGCATCCACCGCCTTGACCTCCGCTTCAATAGGAACCCTCAGTCAAACCATCGCCTGCCGAATGTCCTTCTCCTCTCCTATATCGCTGAAATTGGCTTGGTATACGTTCTGTGGGGATTGCATGATGGGCTGTGCGCGTGCCATCACTTGTTGTGGGGAATCGTGATTAAAAATCCCGGGTTGGGGCGAAGCGGAGATGAGACGAGACGTGACGAAAGGAGACGAGAGGAGACGAGAAGAGAAGAGACAAGACGAGAGGAGAGGAGAGGAGAGGAGAGGCGACGAGACGAGAGGAGAGTGTTAGTGTTAGCCTTCAATCTCACACTTTGTACTTTGTATTTTCTATATCCTAGAATAGTGTAGTTTGCACATTGTGTTTGGTTGGGTGTACACCTACATCCCAACCAAACCCAAATGTAATCTCCAAGCAATCTCCAACCCACCAATTGGAGATTGCCTTGGGATTACCCCTAATCCCTAGGATTGCCCCCGATTCTCTTCCCCATCCATTCCCTCCCCTTCTTGGATGTATTTAAAGAGCTTCAAGCTCATTACTAATGCATCGCTTCTAAGCCTAAGTTCTAAGATGGTATCAGAGCTGTTGTGCAGCAAATATGTCCCAGAGGGTAGATTCTCACCTGTGGTCTTAGAGGTTGTGGGTTCAATTCTCAGAAGCTGCAGGTTCCATTCTCATTATGCTCCACATTACATGTCCACACTCTACCACACTCCACCACAGTGAAGTGTGGTCACAGTTGGCATTGCCACCTGTCCACTCATCCCACACTCACCTTGCTGGCCTCTATGGTGTGCCATATGCTGTCATGTGGGCTGTTGTTCCAGCCTGGCCCACATGTGCAACATGTGGCCTCACTTGCTAGCTTGGCAAGGTTGGCTAGCCTAGCCCTCAGCATTGAGGTGCTGCAGCTAGCCTCAAGAGTTCAGCCACATATATGTGGCTTCCCACTTCACTAGGGATCATCCTTAACAAGGACCTTGCTCTAGTCTTTAAGACTTGTACCATTTTCTTGCTAAGGAGATTTCTTCTTCCTATCGTGCCCTAAGTTCACCGATCCACTTTCTTCAAGATCCTTTCAAACCGCACACGCGGATTGTGATCCTCTTATCTCTGCGTATGCTAGTCCCGCAAACCTCGGCGTAACCGCCTTCAATCTCGTCGCCGTTGACTCGCGACATTCGTGGGCGGAAATTCTTCCGCACCACTTTCCCGTCACTCTCGACGGCATCTACTAACTCACTGGTAAGCGCATCGTCGGCGTTTTAACCTATCGCTCGTTCTCGTCGAACATCATCGCGTCATTCCTTCTCCTCGTCGGGCTGTCGCCCGTCGCCCTGCAGCTTCTCGTCGGGCCGCCGCCCGTCGCCCTGTAGCTTCTCGTCGGGCCGCCGCCCGTCGCCCTGCAGCTTCACCTTCGGGCTGCCGCCCGTCGCTCCGCATCTGCACTCCTACCCCCATCCCCCTCCCTTTCCCGCAGCTGAACATGTGCAGCAGCGCAGCCGAGCAGCAGCGTAGCCGCGAACTATGTTGGAAAAGTCGCGCCCAGCGCATTATACACAAGCGTATATACGCTTGCGTATAGTGCGTTATGCGCTTCGTGAGTGACTTTGAAAGTCGCAGAAAGTACGCTGCCCGGGCAGCAAAAGGTTTTTACCGGGCAGACGAAAAAACCTTACATTCTCAACTACTCTAAGCAAGCAACATGCATCTCTCCTACCCCACCCCCTAGCAACAGGCTCGGGGTAGGGTAGGAGAGATGCATTCTCAACTACTCTAAGCAAGCAACATGCAACTCCTCTACTTTTACTCATCCTCCAGCTCATCCTCCTCCCCCTCCTCCTCATCCTCCTCCAGAACCTCGTTGTACCCTTCCGGCAGGGAGGCCTCAGGGATGTTCCCCGGGAGAACCGTCACCCCCTCAGCCCCCTTGTGCCAGTTGCGCACAATGTTCCAATTGTGCGCAACATACACGAGGTCCCGACACTTCTCGGACCCCAACCTGTTGCGCTTGGCAGTGTGGATCGATTCCCACACTGCCCAGTTCCTCTCACACGCCGATGCGGACACTGGCTGAGAGAGAACGCGGCAAGCGAGCGTTGTTAGCTCGGGGTGCTCCGTCCCGTGCCACGTCCACCACTGGACGGCCGTCTTCTTACCGGCCTTCACGAGCTCACGGTCAGAGATGGCGTCGGGTAGGCCGAAGCTCCCCTGAAGGGTGTTGAATGCCGTCAGGCCGTCCTGGATGACGTGGGATGCGCGCAGCTCCTCGCCCTCCTTGCGCGTGACGGTCACCTCCGTGCGTTCACTGCTGGACAGCACCAATCCCGCCTCCTCCTCCTCCAACTTCGCATTGATGTCTTCCGTGAGCTGCAGCATCAGATCGTACATCCTACCCATCATGCCCTTGGCCGTCGAGTCGGTCTTGCGCATGACGACAAAGGGGATCTTCAGGAGGGCGACGAAGAACTCCGCACCTTTCCACCACACGGCATCCATGATCATGGTTGCGAAGGGCTCGACCAGCGGCTTCCTCCCCTTCGCCCAAGCCTGCCACTCCGGGCTCAGCACCATCTGCGTCAATGCACTCCGCACCTCGCAAAGCCGCTGCACCGCGATGAATTGCGTGCCAAATCTGGTGCCCGCCGGCTTCAGCACCTGCTTCCCCTTCCCTCCCTTCACCTGCGGGCTTCGCATGTAACCTTTGGTGAAATGGTGGGCACGCACAAAGGTAATAATCACCCCCGCCTTAGCCACAATGTCCTTCGCCCAATCCATTTCACCAATGTCCTCCATGAGCAGATCCATGACGTGAGTAGCGCACGGCACATGCTCAATGTGAGGATACTCAAGCATGAGTTCCCTACATGCAGCCGCATAATTGCTGCCCCCATCCATGCATAACGCAACTATGTTGGCGGGCCCCACCTTCTCAATGATCGGGCGCAAAACGGATGCAATGTAACCTCCCGTCTTTGTCTCCAACTTACAGTCGATGGTTTCGGTGAACACTGAACCGGAATCGTTGATGAGCAGGATGTTGGCTTGGGGACGACCACTTTTGTCCGTCATCATGTCCGAGCCTATCGTCACGCCATCCCGCTTCCAGCTCGCAGTGATGGGAGCGAGCCCCCTCTCGATCTTTTCGCGGCAGCGCGCAAGGCCGGCGCCACCAACATACCGCCGCTTCGGGGGAACGTAGCCATGGCCCGCGTCCGTGATGCAGCGCACAGCGTTGCGCCAGAGAGGGTGATCGGCGAGATGCTCCGGGAGGTGAAGTGCCGCCCACATGAGGCGGATGGCGTCGTCTGCCGATTCCTTCGCACACGACGCCCCTTCCCCGTAGAAGTCTTCGATGCACTGCTTCTAAGCTCCACCCGCACACGCCTCGATCGCCATCTCCTCCGCCTTCTTCTTCCCTTCCCTGCGGGCGTGTTTGCCTTCGTACAATTCGCGGACGGCGCCGCGGTCAGCAGAAGGGATAGGCGCCTTGCAACGACGGACGTCCTTCTGTTTCAGCCCTTTCCAGCACGTGATGTGTTGCGCGCAACGGAAGGCGCCCCCTACGAACTTAAGCTTGCAGTGCCGGCATATGCGGAGAGTACGCTCAGGACCATTCGAGGTACCTTCGGTAGAGGTAAGGAAATGCTTAAAAATAACATGGGTGTTCACAGGAACATCCTCGTCGTCCGCCATGGTCGCGTCATTCGAAACACTAGGAGCCTCACTAGTGGCACTTGCGGGAGTACCAGAAGGAGTCGACATCAAATGCAGGTGAGCGGGAGTGTTGAGAGAGAATGAACGAGGAGAGAGATAATACAGATGACGGGAATGAGAGCTTACCTTTTAGTCCAGGATATGGTTGAACCACCTACGCTGGTTGAAGACATTCGTGTTTGTGTGTTGGAGTCGCGCGATAGCATAGGGTGCAGTGCGGTTCAATTTTTCCCACGTCCCCACATTTTGACAGGTGTGGGTGACAATGTGGTTGGGACGTGCGTACAAATTGGGGTGGGACGTGCGTACATTTTGAGTCGCGTCGCACATTCGCAATTCGTGCGCGACTATTGAAATCTGGTTTTTTTCGGGTCAGCCCGAACTTTCGCCATCGAATATACGTACGACTTGCGTACACCGTATATTCGTAAACGACTATACGGAGTGCGCTTATGGTTTCTGGCGACTTTTCCAACATAGGCCGTGAAGTCGAGCAGCCGTGTAGCCGCGAAGCCGAGCAGCAGCGCAGCCGAGAAGCAGAGGGTGGTGTGTGGGGGGGTGTGTGGGAATAGGATTAGTAGGTAGTTGACACTAAATTGGCGTTTCAGTCGAATTCTCCTTCAGAAACCCTAAACCTCAAAATTCTCTTTCGTAAACCCTAAACCTCCGGTTCTTCAAAATCTCCTTCGGAAACCCCAAACCTCAAGTTCCTATCGTTGACTCAAGAGCGGCGCTCCGCGCGACACCCTAAGGGTTCTCCACCATGGCCAACCCCATCACCCCACTCCGTCTTGACGCCGATGGCTCTAGCTCCAACTTCAAGGCATGGAGCTACGGGGTTGACAAGCACCTGCTGAGCTGTGACGTGCAGGGATTGGACCTCAAGGATGTCCTCCTCAACCGTGGCAAGGGAAAACAACCCCTTCTCCCTCGCGAGCCGACCGAATCTGCTAGTGAGGCTGACACAAAGGCATATGAGGAAGCCGTTGAGAAGTACCGGAAGTGGGAGAAGGCCGATGCTGCAATTTTCAGCGTCTTCATCGCCTCCACCCCTCCAGAACTTGTCAACACGTTCCATAACTACCCTACCTCCAACGCCATCTTGAAGTATCTCCAGGATCGGTTCATGAATAAGACTGCAGTCGGAGTTGCCATCCTCATCCCCAGCATGTTCCAAGTCTGCCTTGAGGATTGCTCGGGAATGGCCGACTACATTGCCAAGGTTCAGACCATTCATGGCGAACTCAAGGAGCTGGGTATAGTCTTCTCCGATCAGGCCCCTGCAGCAGCTCTTCTCGTTGGTCTCACCATAACCTATGAAATCACAAGGAAGATGCTCCTCACGCTGACTGCGGAAGACCTCACTTCTGCCAAGGTCTCCACCGCACTCCTCTCTGCCGAGAAAGACTCCACGGCTCAGGCCAAGGCTTACGCCATCCGTGCTCCCATGCCTCAAGCCAGTGTCGCATCGGCCCCTGCCTCGGCGCCCCTCCAGCGCAACCGCTTCCCACCATGTACCTACATCGTCCAGTATGGCAACCGCAAGGGACAAGTGTGTGGTGGCACTAACCACCCCCTCGCTACGTGTTTCAAGAAGAAAGACGACGAATGGTACGCCATCCACGCCATAGACAAGAGGCCACCGAACTGGATGCGTGCGCGTAAGGCCAACCAGGTTGAGGTCCAGGACCCCGCTTCGGCTAGTGCTACTGATAGTGCTCCTGCTGATGCCCGTATCAACCTGTTGTTCCCTGGCACTGCCATGATTAATGAAGCTTCCTCCCAGTACCTCGGCTCATCACAAGCACCACAATACATAGAGTTCACACTCGACAGCGGCGCCACACACACTGTACTCAAGGAGACACTCTCCTTCAAACCCTACGCAACACCCATCCCTCTCATAGGAGCTGACTCAAGCTTCACCACTCATGCCAAGGGTTCATCCACAGTCCCGTGCCCCGCCTTCCCTTCCAGCACTGTCACTGGAATGTGCGTGCCTTCACTCCGCCACAATCTCGTGGCCCAAACAGAAATTCGAGAAGCTGGACTACGCACCATCTTCTGGGAGAACGAGAACTATGGTGATATCCTCGACCCACTCACCAACAAGGTCTTGACTCGTTTCACCCTCAACAGCAGCGGCCTTTACACGCTGCAAGTACCCATCCCACAGGTGTCAACCACCCAAACAGCAGCGACTACCTCACCATGCTCGTGCCGCAGTTTCTCCAACCCGACCATACTCTACCACCATCGGCTCGGGCACCCAAACTTCCGCACACTTGCTGACATGGCCTCCAAGAAACTTCTACTCGGCCTGCCAGCCTCACTTCCTCCACCACCGGACTCCCCCGCTCCCACGTGCCTTGACTGGACCAAGAGCAAACTGCGTCAACAGCCCCACCCGGCCTCACCCTCTGTTGCAGCAGGACCATTGGACCTGGTACACCTGGACGTCTGGGGCCCTGCCCCTGTTCCCGCACGAGGTGGTTATCGCTACTTCCTTGTTATCGTCGATGACCACTCTCGCTACGTCTCTGTTCACCTCCTCCACACTAAGGTTGCGGTTTCAGAGGTCCTCATGGCGTGGGTTAAACAGGCACAGACCGCCTTTGACCGCAAAGTCAAGCGCCTCCACTCAGATGGTGGTGGTGAGTTTTGCAACGACAAGCTCAAAGCCTTCTGCTCTTCAGAAGGCATCCAGCAAAACTTCACCCTCCCTGACAGCCCGCAGCAGAACGGCATAGCTGAGAGCCGCAACCACACCCTGATGCAGATCACTCGGTGCCTCCTCAGCCACTCCAACGCTCCACACTCTCTCTGGGGGTACGCTCTCTACCACGCCGCCCTCCTCTACAACCTTTACCCCCACCCGCATCTTCCCGAGACCACTCCAACCACACTCTGGCTCGGGAAAACGCCCACTGCTCGCTCTCTTCGTGTTTGGGGGTGCACCGCCTATGTCGTCCTCAACCCTCAGGCTCGACGACAGCACGGCGGCAAGCTCGGTCCCAAGACCCAGACGTGCATCTACCTCGGGCACAACGCTGACTCGCCTGACTACCTCTTCCTCAATCCCTCCACTCAGCAGTTGGTCCGGAGCCGCGACATTGTCTTTGATGAGACCCGCCCATTCTACTCCACTTCGGGACGGGACCCTCTCCCTGACCCACCCTCCCTCGTGTGGGCAAACTTTGATGCGCCTCCTGACCTCTCGCCTGCTCCGGCCCCTTCACCCCCTACCCCTCCTGCCACCGCACCGTCCCCCTCTGCGGTCTCTGACCCGCCCTCACCGGTGTCTTCGGCAGCTGCTCCTCCATCCCCCTCACTTCCCACTCCGCCGACTGTGCAGCCACCTCCGAGCGCACCTATCACCTACTATCGGCGGTCCCACCCTCCGGCCCCACCTCCTCCCCCGGTTCCCCCCACCACAGAGGAACCCGCTCTCCCACAGTCGCCCGAGCTAATCACGTACCACCGGCGGCCCATTCCCCCGCCCAAGCCTCCTAAGTCAACCCCTCCGACACCGCCTGCCCCACCCTCTTCTCCGGTGGCTCATGGCACTCGTTCGCATGGCGCGGCTCTTCCACTAGCGCTGGTTCTTCGATACACGGCGATCACACCGCCTCCTCCTGCTGGGGGGAATGTGCCCTCTACCCTTCTGGAAGACAGGCATGAGGAGCTGTGTGATCTTCATGCAGTCATTCCTCAGCTCTCGCACATCTTCCCCGACATCACTGACTCACCCTCCTTCAACTTCGCGGAGAACCAGACCATTTCTATCCCTCTCACCGTCCAAGAGGCTCTCTCAGGCCCTCATGCTCCCGAATGGCGTGGTGCCATGGAAGCGGAGATTGCACCATTCACCCGCAACCACTCTTTCAACGCGAGACTCCACCTCCAGGAGTCAACATCGTCGGGGGCAAGTGGTTGTTCCGTGTAAAACAGCTCCCAGACGAGGCCCCGGTGTTCAAAGCGCGTTACATAGCCAAGGGCTTCACCCAGCAGAGTACCGCGACTTCTTCCTAACCTTCTCCCCCACATCCAAACCTCCCACCATTCGTACGCTCGTGGATGTCGCAGCTCGAGAAGACTTTGAGATCAAATCCATGGATGCCTCATCCGCCTTCCTACAAAGACGTCTCAAGGAGAGAGTGTTCATAGACAGACCAGAAGGCTTCCTAGAAGAATTCCCTCCCAACACTGTCTGGAAGCTGAATCGCCCCGTCTAGGGATGAGCAAGTGGCGAACACGAACGTGTTCGTGTTCGCCCCTACACGAACACCTTCGTTTGCCGAACCGAACACTGTTCGGTTCGGCGAACACTTTGAGCAAAAAATGGTGTTCGCCGTTCGCCTGTGAAGGCGTGTTCGGGCGAACCTCGAACACTGTTCGTGTTCGTCGCGGGCAAATTGCAGCAGCGGCCCGAACACGAACGTGTTCGGGCGAACATCGAACACTGTTCGGCGAACATTTTAAGCCAAAAAAAAATACCTGTTCGGTTCGCCTCGAACACGTTCGAGGCGAACCGAACAGGTGTTCGTGTTTTTGCTCAACCCTAGCCCCGTCTACGACCTTAAGCAAGCCTCTCGCGAATGGCACAACAAGGTGAAAGAAGTCCTCCTCTCCCTGGACTTCCACCCTTCAACTGCTGATCCGACTCTCTTCATCCGCCATCATTCTGAGCCATTCTACATCCTGGTCTATGTGGATGATTTCATCCTCGTTGCCAAGGACTCGGCCCAGATGACCTCTGTCCGGGCAGCCATGAGCAAGGCTCTCCAGATGAAAGACCTCGGTGACCTCAAGCACTACCTGGGGATGGAGATCACTCGTGATCGCCAGGCTCGCACCATTTCACTCTCCCAGGATTTCTACATCGACAATGTGCTCAAGCCGTTTGAGATGGAGCTGTGCACACCTGTTGCCACCCCGCTGCCGCTGCAACACCTCCTCACTGCTCCAGCTGTACCCACACCAGAGGCCTGCTCTGAGCCATACCCGGAGCTTGTTGGGTCCCTCATGTACGCCATGATGTGCACCCGACCGGACTTGGCCTGTCCTGTCAGTGTCCTCTCTCGCTACGTGGCCCCTGGACGCTTCACTGATCTTCACTTGAAGGCGGCGAAGCGGGTGCTGCGCTATCTTCAGGGCACCAAGTCTCACGTTCTCACACTCGGTGGGCTCTCCCCTCCTCGCCTGGAAGGTTACACCGACTCCTCCTGGGCTGATGACCAGACCGACCGACGCTCCTCTCAGGGGTACTTCTTCACCCTTGGGAGCGGAATTGTCAGTTGACGCTCCACCAGGTCGTCTGCAGTCTCCCTCTCCTCCTGTGAGGCAGAGCTCTACGCAGGCACCATGGCTGCTCAGGAGGCCCGTTGGCTCACCTTCCTACTCCAGGAGCTTGGTTTCCCACAGTCCGCCCCCACCCTCTGGTGTGACAACCACAATACCATCCACATCTCTCAAGACCCTGTGTATCACACCCACACCAAGCATATTGAACTTCGGCACTTCTTCATCCGTGACCTTGTCCAACAGGAGCAGCTGGAAGTGGAATAAGTTGCATCTGACTGCAACCTGGCTGATCTGTTCACCAAGCCCCTTGGGAAAGTTCCCCACCACCGTCTCCTAGGCGCCATGGGGCTCTGTGCACCACCCTCTCTACCATGAGTCCGATTGACGCCTATGGGGGGGGGTTAGTGTTAGCCTTCAATCTCACACTTTGTACTTTGTATTTTCTATATCCTAGAATAGTGTAGTTTGCACATTGTGTTTGGTTGGGTGTACACCTACATCCCAACCAAACCCAAATGTAATCTCCAAGCAATCTCCAACCCACCAATTGGAGATTGCCTTGGGATTACCCCTAATCCCTAGGATTGCCCCCGATTCCCTTCCCCATCCATTCCCTCCCCTTCTTGGATGTATTTAAAGAGCTTCGAGCTCATTACTAATGCATCGCTTCTAAGCCTAAGTTCTAAGAGAGAGGAGAGGTGAGGAGAGGAGAGGAGAGGAGAGGAGACGAGAGGAGAGGAGACGAGAGGAGAGGAGGGGAGAGGAGAGGAGAGGAGAGGAGAGGAGAGGAGACGAGACGAGACGAGATGAGAAGAGAAGAAGCATCACTGCAGTGGATTGGGATTGCAAGAAGAGGGCCAGGGAAGAGACGGGAGTGAAAGAAATGAGACTTTACCACCACCGCAAGGGAGATGTGTGCAAGAGGGATGACAGCGAGAGGGCACGTGACTTGGGGCAAGATACGATGCTTTCAGAAGCAGATGTCTTCAGAACCTCACCCACCCATATTCAAAGCAGATGTTCTCGCCCTCTCTATCGCAGTCCAGCCACAGCATGAGGCATGAGGGTGTAAGACGAGACACGAGTAGACCACTTAATACATACGAAAGCACATCTCACATTGAAGCAGGCATGCATAGATCTCCCACCTTCGAAGCAGATGTTCTCGCCCTCCCTATCGCAGTCGAGCCACAGCACGAGTGCATCACACCCCTTGGCCTCTGTTTGTAGATGCTTGCACACATGCGCCTGCACCGCATTGCACATCAACCTCGCAATACCGCACAGCATGCCGGGAAGAAACGCACAGCAGAGAGCAAGGGCAGGAGGATTTTGCATAAAGAGGCACATCCAAACGGAAGTACAGATTTTGAGTCATCACCAAAAGATCACGACGGATGGGTGTGAATAAAAACGCTGACTCTTGATTCGACTCATAAGTCAACTCATCTCCACAATCTCATGACGGATGGGTATAGATGCATAGATAGACAAAAGGCCTGGTTTGATAGAAGGCACAACGGTTGCACTCAGTGGGGACGAGTGCAAGTGAGAAGACATGCATACAGCACATGAACTAAACCATAGACTCGATGTACCTTGGATCTAGGTTGGCCACAATGCAACTTCAATTTGAGATCGGTATTGGAGCTACAGTTACCGCACCTTGGGATTCATTTTGGGTGTTGAGTGGGCAAGAAAAGTCTATATTCGAGGCGCTTCACAAAACAAACTAAAATTCTTGGTTCTTTATTTCTTCTACCAACTCCTGCATAAGACAACAAAGAAAGAAAATTAACGTGGAGGACATGCGCATCATATGTAAGCAACTTCTTACTGCGATTCTGCCTTCGGCAGTTTGTCTTGCTTGCACTTCTTTCTCAAGAATTCCATCTCCACCTACAATGTACGTTATACTTAGTTGTAACAATGATAGAATTAGTTTCACAGTACTTCACAAATTTCAATGCATACCAGCAGTGAGTTTCAGTTTATGAGACTCGCCAGCAGCAGTTAGGTATGTCTTTAGGTCATTCACCTGATTACAATAAATATGATTCTCTTTTGCAGTTGTATAGATATATTTAACCTTGATGAATGACCTGAAGACATACCTAACTGCTGTTGGCGAGTCTTATAAATTGAAACTCACTGCTGGTATGCATTGAAATTTGAGAAGCATTGTGAAAATAGTTCAGCATCGTTACAACTAAGTATTACGTACATTGCAGGTGCAGATAGAGCTTGGAAAAGAACTGCAAGCATGACAAATTGCCGAAGACGGAATCGCAGTAAGAAATTACTTACATAAGATGCGCATGTCCTCCACGTTAAATTTCTTTCTTTATTGTCTTGTGCAGGAGTTGGTAGAAGAACTGAACACTCGCAAGTCTGTATTCCTAGTAAGGCTTGGCTGTGCCGCACATCGGGTAGGCTTAGGCTCGAGCGCTACAGTGGCCTCACCTTGAGGTTAGACTCTGTCTTGTGGTGGGGGCAGTGAAGAGTGGGCTTTTGAAAAAACTCAAAAGAGGCTGAAGAATAACTGCTGCACCTCTGCCGCACCTCTGCTGCGCCTCTGCCGCGCCGTAGGACTGGACTCATGCTTGCCACTACCTTCGAAAGGGCTTATGCTCAGCACTTCAAATGCTGCACTTGGGGTTGGATTTACTGCATCTCCTAAGAGAGCGCCTGGATTCAAAATGAGACGCACGTTGGACTCCGTCTTGACGGTGGGGGCAGTGAAGGAGTGATGCTGGGTCTAGTTTTGAGGCGCCTCAAAACCAAATGCGACGCACCTTGGGGTTGGACTCCGTCTTAACGGTGGGGGCAGTGAAAAGTGATGCTGGGTCTGTGGCATCCCAGCTCTGGTAGCTGGGAGGGAAGTCAATGCTGGGGGGGGGGGAGGGGTCGGGGGAGGGAGGGGGTGGGGGAATGAGGGGCCAGGGGAAGGGAAAGGATGGGAGAAGTGGCACGACAGCACCTTGGGGTTGGACTCTGTGATTCGGTCTTGAAGGTGGGGGCAGTGAAGAGTGATGCCGGGTCTGTGGCATCCCAGCTCTGATAGCTGGGAGGGAAGTCTATGCTAGGGAGGGGGGGAGAAGAACGGTCGGGGGGAGGAGTGAAAGTAGGGTGGGCGAGGGGGATGCGTGCAGCGAGGGGAAAATTCAGTCTGTGGCATCCCAGATCTGGTAGCTGGGGGAAGTCGATGCTGACAGGGGGGGAGGGGTGGGGGGGAAAGTGGCGTAAGGGAGAAGGAGAGGACGCGATGCTTAGGTGCACACGGCAGGGCAAGCCTAAGTCAGGGACGTCCCAACTGTGGTAACTGGGGGGGAAGTCAACGCTGGGAGGAGGTCAATGCTGGGAGGAGGTCAATGCTGGGAGGAGGTCAATGCTGGGAGGAGGTCAATGCTGGGAGGAGGTCAATGCTGGGAGGAGGTCAACGCTGGGAGGAGGTCAACGCTGGGAGGAGGTCAATGCTGGGAGGAGGTCAATGCTGGGAGGAGGTCAATGCTGGGAGGAGGTCAATGCTGGGAGGAGGTCAATGCTGGGAGGAGGTCAACGCTGGGAGGAGGTCAACGCTGGGAGGAGGTCAATGCTGTGAGGAGGTCAATGCTGGGAGGAGGTCAATGCTGGGAGGAGGTCAATGCTGGGAGGAGGTCAATGCTGGGAGGAGGTCAATGCTGGGAGGAGGTCAATGCTGGGAGGAGGTCAATGCTGGGAGGAGGTCAATGCTGGGAGGAGGTCAATGCTGGGAGGAGGTCAATGCTGGGAGGAGGTCAATGCTGGGAGGAGGTCAATGCTGGGAGAGAGAGGCCAACGCAGGGGAAACGGGTTGGAGAAGGGGAGCACATGGCTAGTGGAATGGAAACTAGCTGTAGAATGATCTGAAGGCCGCTTGCGTGCGTATATTGAAGGAAAACCTGTGTGCGTGTGTGGTGTGAGGAGAGAAGACTATATCAAACCCACCTGAGCATGTGGTCAATGACAGACGTGACTCTGAAGCGAGATGATGCGTGCTTATACCACGCTACCCCTGTCTGAGTGCATCTGTGTTGCGTGCGTGTGTGACAATGTCGAGCCCACCTGAGCACGTGGCCAATGACAGATGTGACTCTAAAGCGAGCCGGGCCTCCTCGGAAGTCACCGTTGAACTCGTGCACGTCCAGCCAGGAGCGACGAGAGGCCATCTGGGGGAGAGGAGGGTGAGGGGAGTGCAGGAAGGAACACAATGCCCATGTAAATGCAGCTCGGACATGTGCATTGTCGCCTTTGAGAGTTCTCAAAAGTCAACTCGGACATGTGCATCGTGCTGGCAGCCCAGCACAGGGGGCTGGGGCTCCTCTGAAATCACCATTGAACGACGAGAGGCCATCTGGGAGATGAGGAGGGGAGCGCAGAGAAAGAACACAAGAGCACAATGCCCCTGTGAGTACAGCTCGGGCATGTGCATTGTGCTCTTGTGCAGCACAGCACAGCACATCCTCGAAAGGCACCGTTGAACTCGTGCACGCCCAGCCAGGAGCGACGGGAAGCCATCTGGGAGAGAGGAGGATGAAGGGAGGGGAGGAGAAGGGGGAGGCAGAGGGAGTGTGATGAATGGAGCTCGGGCATGTGCGGTGCGGTGTGCCCCAGTCCGCGCAGTGAGCAGGCTCTCCTCTGACATCAGCGTTGAACTCGTGCACGCCCAGCCAGGAGCGCCCACGAGAGGCCATCTGAGGAAGTGGAGTGGAGGGGGGGGGAGGGGAGACGAGCGAGGGGAAAACGGGGGACCGTAAGGGCGAGGCATGGCATTAGACCAGGGACGTGCACGCCCAGCGACGTGCACGCCCAGCGGGAAGGGGGAGGGGGAGGGGACAAGAGGGGAGGGGACAAGAGGAGAGGCGTGAGCGGACAAGAAACACTTTTAATCCGCCAGCCAGCGACTCTGGTTCATTTCACATGTGGAGACAAGTGAATGCGACATGCAAGCATCGTCCTTTAAGTCGAATCATAACACTGCTCAATAGGATGGGGCACGTTTGTGCTCCTCCTCACCTGCCCGTGCGACATGACTTGAGCGATGGTGAGCGCGATGCTGGGCTTCTCTGCCACCTGGCAGGCGGGGATTGGACGGATTCAGGCGGATAAGGTGAGAGGGATGGGAAGGCAGTGGTGGTGAGAGTGTTTTGGGTGCGGGATGAGGCGATGAGCCGTTGCAGGGGTGAGGCGATGAGCGGTTGCAGGGTTGAGGTGATAAGCGGTTGCAGGGGTGAGGTGATAAGCGGTTGCAGGGGTGAGGTGACAAGCGGTTGCAGGGGTGAGGTGATAAGCGGTTGCAGGGGTGAGGTGATAAGCGGTTGCAGGGGTGAGGTGATAAGCGGTTGCAGGGGTGAGGTGATAAGCGGTTGCAGGCGTGAGGGGTTGAGTGGAAGAGAGGTCGAGGAGATGAGGGGAAGAGGGGAGGTGTCAAGGGAGTGAGGGCGTGAGGTGGTGAGGGAATCAATGGAATGATTGGATGAGTGAACGAGAGGACAGGGGTCGCAGGTCGGCTTAAGGTGCTCAAGACGTTGGCGAAGGAGGGGAGATCCAAGGACTAGAAGACGTCTCTGAATAGATTCGGCCGTCCCGGCCAGTCTGAGTGAGGGATTCGACCGCGGCGTTCAGCTGAATCAAGGTTGCTTTTCAAACTTCTCATAAACAGCCTTGTTTAATGCACCGTTCGTACACAAAGCGAGCGAGATGGCTCGTACCATGAGAACGAGCTGCGGCGCCATCTTGTGTAAGCTCCGAAGCTTCTCAGGAAACGAGTGAGGCGACGCGTGTCGAGAGTACTACGAGTGAATGGAGTCGCGTGAGGTCTCCGGGTGAGACGAAGGCGTAAGACTACGAGTGAGCGAGGTCGCGTCGGGACTACAGTTGAGTGGGGTCGTGAGTCCGGACTACAAACGCAGCGCTCGGCTTCAAGACGTCTCAACAGCAGGACTCAAAACTAGTCAACACCGGGCTCACGCGAAGCGCCTTCGGCGACTGTACCTCTGAGTCGACTCAAAAGTCAGGTCAACTCAGAAGGCGGCTGTACCTATGTAACATCCTAGCTGCGTATCGCGTTTCCCCCTAACTAGCACCCGAACCGCTTTCTGGTGGCTGTTTCTCGGTCGTGTGCCACGTGTCTCCACCTGGCAGCACATTTGCATGCCTGCGAATTTCTAAACATTTTGCTTGTGCAAGCTTTGGTCAAAGAAATAGGGAAAAGATCAGAAAGGGCCCCAGAGTAGCAGTAAGGGCGTGGAAAAACGCCGCACCTAAAAATCCGGCCACTAGCCAAATGGCCGACTTTGCGAAAGTAACCCGTTTGAGAAAATCGAAGACGCTCGCGACCGTCTTTGTTTTCTCCAATAAAAAACGAAATTGATGGCCATTTTGAAAGTCGACTCATATCCGACACCATGTCGACTCGTATCCGACACCATGTCGACTCCAATTCGGCCAAGTAGTCGACGCCGTGAGCGACTGTCACGTATGACGTCGCACAGTCTCGCAGAGCAATTAAAATTTTTATCCTGTCCAATCAGAGTTTTCGCCGTCAAATGTATGACCCCGTCGCACATACGTTCCTACTGAAGCAACTGCAAATTTTATAACTTTTTGAAACTGGCCTGATATTCGGCCCTCAAACCTGTAAAGTTTGCAAATCTGAAAATAGTGGCTGTAAATGTGACGACACGAAGTCGACCAATCCGTCGACTCTCGCGAAAGAAATGTCAACCAGATGGTCGACGCAAAACCGGCCAAAAGCAGGTTTTGCAAATTTGTGGGGACTTTACACGCCCTAAAGTCGCAAACTTGGAGCCTTGTGAGTCGCGCCCCCGAACACCCCAGCCGAACTCGGTCGACGGAGCCGATTTGCCAGTGTCGTCGAGGGGGGTCGCCGGAGCCGAGAATGACGAGGCGGGCGACTGACGCGCGTGCGGGCCTGCCAGCCTGGCCCAGGGCTGGGCCGACCGCACGACCGCCGCCCCGTAGCCCCGCTCCGAAAGTGAACAGTGGCCCACGTTACCTGGTGGGGTCGGCGAACTTGCGACACCTCGCGCTTGGGAAAGTTACCCTCGCGCGAAGGCAGCCCACACGCGCCATCTGCCCGCGAAGTCCTAGTAACCCATCGCGGCCTGCCCGGACGGGCAGGCGAGGGCCGGGCGAAAATTCGGGGCCCCCTCGAGACGCTCGACAATTTCGCGACCCGTTGCGGCGACGCCACGTGTTCGTTCGTGGTTTCGCATCGGGCGCATGCGATATTTGTCGTTGCGAGCGAAAAAAAAAAAAAAAAAAAAAAAAAAGGCCGCGTCGCGGACAACGAGGTTCGTTACCCGCTACGAAGTCGACACGTGTTGTGCGAATGCACGCTCCTCGCGCTCGCGAAATTGCGTCCGCTCGCCGACCTGGGACAATGGACGCGAGGTCGACGCCCTGCCGAAGCGGAGTCGGACCACCTGTTCCACTTGCGCATGCGCCCTCAGAGCCCTGCCGAGCCAGGCCCCACACCCTTGGGCGACGCTGAACGGGGATGCGGTGGGCCACCGTCTCCTTTTATTTGAGGATGGTGGCATCGCTCCCCATTTTCCGCATCTCGTTTCGCTCCTCCTTTTTTCCTTCTTTTCCCATCCTAACGTGGCTCTCTGCGGCTATCATGAAATCGCTTCCCCTTAGTCAATATGGACCCTAGCCCCGACCCCGATAACTCGGCGCCGACTTCGGCTGACTTTCCTCTTCGTCACCCAATGGGTCGTGGTCTCAGCTTCACTTTAGAGTGGGAAGACTTCTTAGTTCTTCGCAACCACAAGATAGAGTTCAACGACGGATGTTTGGATTTCGGCATCAGGTACGACTCGAGTAGTCGGCGCCGACTAAACTGGGTTGGGTGTCGACGCAGTGGCCTTCTGATTTACGTCGACGTGCGCGGTATTAGGCATAGACCCCCTCCAGGAACGTCGGCCACCTTAGGAATCGCCGACCACACGCAGTCGCCCCGTGTACTTTTCAACGTTTGCTCAACTACGCTTGTATGAACCTCCTTGCCCAATCGTGCCGTCAGGTTTGCGTGGTCCCGACTTGGGATCGAGACCCAGCGTTTGTGGGTTATCGGCGTCGGCACGCTTCGATCGGCCATGCGGGTGGCCGACCATTCATGCTTTGCTGCGGTTTTCGACGCCGACATCGCCGCTATCCCGTTAAGAACGGTGTGAGCTGATTCACCGTTGATCAGTTGTCGTTTTTTAGTGTTGCGACATCGCGTGGTGTTGTGATCGACGTCGTCGTGAATTGCATGTGCAGCCTCGGTGCGCTTCCAGGAACGCACTGCAGCGTCATTGCCATCCTATACCCTGGAGATCTGTTGAAGGCTGAGGGACAGGTGTGCAGGACCTCAATCCGGCACATCGACCCGCAGACCGGTAAAGGGTATCACCGCGACGAGGCCGCCCGCGTGCTAAAGTAAGTGCTGAATTGTCGTCGATGACCCGCTTGTTAGTCGGCGACACAGGGTATCACACGCTGACCGCCTCCCCCCACCGCGGTGCTTCAGGTTCTTCCACACGGCTGTCCTGGCCGAGCTGGGGCGTCCCGGTAGGATGTGGGACTGGGCGCCGCCATCACAAGCAGTGGTGGAGGTCAGGCTGGCCGACTGCGACCACCCTATCCGCGATGTGAGTTGCACGTTCAAGTCGCAAGGGGGGGTGCCCGTTTCTGAACGCTCCGCTCATCATGTTCCGTGCTTGTATGCAGAAAGTGCCGGGCACAGTGTCGGACGGGCATGTCGGTGCCGGCGTGCTTTCCGCGACGTCGTTCGGGTGGGTAGCGAAACAGATCGACCATCTGACAGGCGAGAAGGGTCGTCGTGGGGTGAGAATCGAGAGCGTCGGGATGAAGGGGATGAAGGCTTTGCGCGACAGCATGGTTGAGTACGTCGGCAAGGTCATTGCCGTAAAACGCACCGCGACGCCGACTTCTCAAGCCGCCGGACCCGCCGACAGTGCCATAGATGACGACGGCGCGGAAGGACAGAAGGCGCCCCAAGGTGCAGTGGCCGCCCAGCATCAGGGGAACGCGAGGGTGCATGGGGAAGGTGGAAACGGTGGAGGAGGCGACGCAGAGGCAGGTGCAGGAAGGTTGGAAATGGAGAAGTCGTCGTCGTCGTCGGAGTCGGAGTCGGAGGAGGAAGACGAGGCGGTGAAGCGTAAGGACGAGGAGGAGTATGAGGAGTATGAGGAGGAGGAGGAGGAGAATAAGGACGAGAATGGTGAGAAGTGGGAGGGAGGGAAGGATGAGGAGGGGGGGGATGAAGAGGTGGAGTTCGTGGTGGAGTATGTAGAGGGTACGGTTGAGGCGGGAGAGGCGGAAGAGGCGGTGGGGCCGGCAGATCAGGGGAATGAGGAAGAGAAGGATGACGACGCGGGAAATGCTACGAGGTCGGCAGATGTGGGGAAGGAGAAGGGCGAGGTCGGCGTGGAGGCAACGACAGGAAATGGCCAGGATGAGGCGGCCTGCGAGGGAGGTGGGAAGGTGTCGGTCGACGCCGGCGAAGGGGCGAACAACACGGGCGAGCAGGAGGCCGGGGAAGCACCTTGTCGGCAGGGCCCAGAACTAGACGACGTCGAGGTGCTGCGAGGGGAGAACTAGTTGTTGCGGGCGGAGAACGCTCGGCTGGCGTCGTTGCTCGATGCGGAGCGATCCCGGCTGG